GGAGGCGGCATATGGCGTCATTGTTATGAACGGCCATGGTCAAGTATGAGATGGTAAGGCTGAGACTTTGCACTGTTTTTCCCCACTTGAAGCTGAAGCCAAGGCCCTTTTGATGGCCGTGATCATGGCTACTGAGCTACAATCTACATGTCTTGTTCGTTCGGATTGCCTGCCTCTTGTAAAAGCTTTGCAGGATCATCAGAAGGAATGGCCATGGAGAGCTGCTGCTTGGATTTGCTCTATCAAGCAATTGATGGTGTCCAATCCCCTTATCCGAATCTCGCATATAGGTCGAAAGAGCAATGTAAAAGCTAATTGGGTTGCTAGATCTTGTGCCAGAAACTCGTTACCCAATGAATGGGTTCAGATTCTGGATGTAGTCTCACCCCTATTGTAACCTTTGGCTATTACAAATGTAATGAAAAGCAGTGTCCCCTTGTCAAAAAAAAAAAAAAGAAACTTCATCAGAGTGTCGGGCCTTTCTGGGAAGACGAATTGACAGAGAACCTTATCTCGAACAAACTATTTGATGCCCATCTGTAGAAAACAAAGCAAAAAGTTCAGTTGCGAGACCAAAGCAAAATAGACTTCCGACGCAAGTAACACGTTCAGCTGCTCAGACATTCACAACTCCTATGTGAAGCCAAATATGTAGGTAAGCCTACAAACTTACATACCTGTACTTAGCTGAGCGACGATCCTGGTCGAGATGGTGCTGCAAATATGATAAGTCCAGAACATCCATATAGTAATCAAGGTTGACAGCTGCAAATAAAAAAGCAAAAGTGGGTTACCATGTAGTTTTTTCTTCTTTCCAATATGTTTTATAGGCAACGGATGGAAGATAACCAAAGTATGAGACTACCCAGCTTTCCATAGTTCTCAACTACATTGATCTTGCACAACACATTGACGTGTGGAAGTTCCAGGTGAAGCATCATTACATTTGAGCTGAACTCTTGATCATAACAGAAGGGAAAAGGGGGCATTTCCAGCCTTTTATGAAATTTGAAAATGGGTTTGTTGTTCTGTGGCTTTACCCTCATTGCACAATACGACATAATGGTTGAACTCATATACATTGACATAGAATAGCTAATCTCTTTGCACACTATAGTTGAACAATATACAGTTGGTTTTGGCCACAAATTATGTTATTTCTACCGCAAATTAAAACATTCCCTAGTAAATAGAACATACAAATGCAAGAGGGAAGGAGAGAAAGAATATAGAAGTGACATAACTAGCACACAACCCCTGTTGCTCTCTAAATCCATAAATACAAAGGAAAACATTTAAACCAACCCTCCCATTGCAGCAACCATGAATGGAAACTCAGAAGCAATGGGGAATTAAAACGACCCAACTCATTCTCCTAGCGGCCTTTGGAATCGAAACTACATCCTCATTTACACATTCCTCGAATTACCTGACAGCCTTTTGATTCAACGGCCAAAGTCGCTCTCCACCGCTTAGAACTTGGTTTCCACGATTACAACAGGGACGACGCGAACTGAGGAGGAGGACGCAGATGGAAAGGTGAGTCTCTTATTCTCGGGTTTGGATACCTTGCCGGCGACACGGTCCGATGGAGACAGAGCCACGCAAAGACGTTGGATTCCTTCGTCTTTGAAGATTGGGTCGATGACGGACAAGTCACCGGAATTGATTTCGAGAGACCGCCTGAGAGGGTGATCGAGGAAGTTGGATTCTGTATCGTTTGGTCGATCCATGCTTTTCTGTTTGCAGATTCTGCCTAATAACAAAACTCAGTTACATTAACTTTCTCAATAATATATGCAAAAAAAAATTAATTAATGAAAAGGAAATACAGAATAAAGCGACGGAGATCTGTACTCCGTCAGTTTGAGATAAGTCGGTTAGACCAGTTAAAATGGATCATCGACTTTAGACCAATGTTCATTAATCAACCCAGCCCGCCACATAGGTTCCATGTGGACGAATAAGAGACTGCGTCACCGGTACCGCACTTTTTACCGCGGCACCGTAGTATTAGCCATAATTTGGATCACTTCTGCCACTTCACATATTTCCTTCATACCCGTGGAGATGAAACAGAAGAAAGCTGAATTTGGGTGCAAATGTTGTTATTATCATCATCATCATTGCCTAGTGTATAATTTATTAAATTTGGTAGAAACAGATGGTTCTAGTTGAATAAAATAAAATGTGATAAATGCACAAGTGTATATTTATCTCTGTAATTCTCCTGCCCTCTTATCATATTATTTGTTTATTTACATCACAAAAATATTACAAATACTTACTTGAATTTTTTACCAAGTCACCACATACATTGGTTTGAAAGAGAGAAAAAATAAAAGATTCAAGGTGAGAAGTAAAAGAAGGTGCCTAGATGGGACAGGTCACGAACCGTGGTTACTAAGGGTAAATTGGGTATGAAAAATAAATTATATTAATTAATTTTTTTAATAAATTACATTTTCGGCAGTACAAGAATCTATTAATTACAATTCTCTCTCTTTCTCTCACTTCCATAATCTCCAGCCAGATCCCATTTCCTTAATTTTCTCAATCTTTCTGCAAAAGACAAAAAAAAAACACTAAATCACTACCAATCCATTAGACAACCACTAACCACTTTGAAAAATATCAATACCATTGCAAAAACAATTCTATACCATTACACGAAAACTACCAATATAAACAATCTACCAATATAAATCTATACCATTTCACAAAAAATCAATACCATTGCATATTTAATCAATACCAATACATGCAAATTAATATCATTACATGATAATTAATACCAATGCAACAAAATCAATACCAATGCGACAAAATCAATACCAATGCGAAAAAAATACCACCACTACGAAAAATCACTACCATTAAGAAAAACTAACTATACCATTTTATAAAACAAAACAATGAACCAATACCAAAACAAAAAATTATCAGATCTAGATTTTTATGTCTACAATGGATAGAGACTTAGAGAGGGAGGGAAGGAGAGAGAGAGAGGTTGGCCGGCCTACCAGGCTGACATCACGTTGTTGCTATCTGTGGGGGCGGGGGGAGGGAGGGAGGAGGGATGGGAGATCATGGATCATGCGAGAGAGGTGGGAGGGGAAGGAGGCCGACCCGCGGTGGTGGGGGTTTTGGGGAGAGAGGCCGGTGGAGAGTGTTCCAGGGAGGGAGGAGGGACGGCGAGAGGGAGCTTGGTGGTAGGCGGTCGGTTGCAGTAGGCTGTAGGGTTAGGGTTTGGATATAATTTATAGAATAATCAAGTGTAGTATATTTTTTATTTCCAAAATTACCCTAATATAATCTTCATCGTTAATCTAAAAATAAGATGAAAAAGAAATAATGAATGGTGTTGATTAAGGTACCCACCGTAATTACTAAAAATTTAGTAACCACACTAACTCATTCCTGCCTAAATGTGAATAATGATAATCACAAGTCACAACACAAAATGCACATTATGAAAAAAATTGCAGGCAACACCTCCTGGTCTAAACTCATAGAAAAATGCTAAGTCAAATATATAAACTCTTGTCTTATATAAGGATTGTTAAGCCTCCCAGTTAAAGGATCTTAACTTCAATTCCTTATCCTCTACACATGATACTCACTCTCAATTTCTATCTAAAACTCTCTAGATTTACATACCTGTTGAGGTCTATTATGTAGAGTTACTCAAATTGGACAAGTGATCGATTTCTAGGTTTCGTCGTAAACCTAATTGGTTACTCACAATTACGTAAATCAATAGTTCAAATCGCACTTAAAGGTAGGGCATTTCCCATTTTTATAGAAACTTCTGTACCATAAATAATGATATCTCCAATTATAGCCTATCTGGGATGTAAAATATATCTCTTCTCATCTGCATTACTAAACTACATACTAGTGTAGATCACTAAGATCACTTGTGCCACTACACATTTCTTTCATACCGTGGAGATGAACCAAAGTAATTCGAATCTGAGTGCAATAATAATAATAATAATAATAATAATAATTATTATTATTATTATTATTATCAACAGTCAGGTCTAATAATTTTTGTCCAAACATAACCTTGTATTATGAATGAATAAAATGTGATAAGTGATGTATATTTATCTCTGCAATTCTTTTTCCATTTAAAGATGTACCAGATAAGCGTGCTTGCTTGCGCTACGCGACGAGTAGAAGGTAGTACGATAAATATGTCGTCATTAAAGAATTAGTAACATATAACTCATATGACATAACTCCAATAAATGCAAGAAAAATTAGTAAGATGTTGTGGAAGAGGTTCATAGTAATATGCCGTCGTTGGCCAATGAAGTTATAAATTAGAGGATCAATCTACATATTTGGAACTCCGCAACTGTTACTTAGAGTATTTACAAAGTTTCTGCATTTGAAATGGAAGAAAAAATAAAGACAAAAAAAGACAAAAGAATGTAAAATCTGATTCCTTTGGTTTCGAGGCCACTGTCGCCATTTTAAGGAGAGCAAGAAAGAGGTGATTAAGAATGCACATTTTAATTCACTACACCTCACTAATTATCAGCTCCGCCGCCTCCGTCGCTCCTTCTCCGCCACATGGATCTGTAGCCAGTTCCATGCGAGTTCAAGCAATAGCTAGCTTTAACAATGGCATCGTGAAACGAGGGATCATCAGCACTAGAAGCCTGGGTGGATAGAGTTGCCGCAGAATTGAGGAGCAAGCTGAGGGAGATTGGGATGTTAAGGTTGATCCCCAAAATGTTGGCGTTAATCGCCGTGCAGAGGCAGAGCGCCGCCTCCAAATCCACCAGCCCGTCAAGGATGCTGCAACAAGGCTTCACCGGCGGCGCACCCACCGTGACGTTGACCAGGTTGAGCACGTGGTCACACACCCACAGCTTCAGGGTGTCCCGAGTTCACCTTCCGGCGGCAGAGCTCGGGTTCAGGCTGACATCCTCTCACCTCCTTCTCCTCCGCCGACATCAAGCGGCTGAGCTATCCCCGTGAGTGCATTAAACCCTAAATCCACAAAATGAAGCCCTTCCGCTGAAAAATTGTCGGTGCCTATCCAACATTGCAGAAAATAGACGATGGGATTGACCGGAGAGCTCGTTCCGCGACAAGGAGAGCACTAGGAGCCGAGGAATGGAGCCGTTCATAGCTGAAATCAATCCCCTGCTTAGGACATTCTCCTTGTGAAAATTCCTTGTGAGTTCGAGGGTTTGGGCGTAAGTTATCTTGTTCTTGAACATTACCAGCTTAGGCCCTCCTCCGCCTCCATTGTTAGGGCCATTGCTTCCTCTTCCTCTACCCCTGTCGGAGCTTCCACGAGTCGGTATGCTTTTCTTTCTGGCGGCCATTTCCCTCAACTTCTTTCACCTCGGAGGATGCCATTTCCTTCAATTTTTCGATCTCCCTTGTCAAACCATTCTGCCACAAATAGAGAACGTTTAGCCGGGATAAACGAGAGATGACACCTGGGATTTCACCGGTCCAGCGATTCGAACAAAGCTCGAGCACTTGGAGACAATATGTTCTCCTCCAGAGAAACAACTTCCAAGCTCGGCAACCCAAACTGCTCGATGGGAAATTCTATGGAACTAAAAAGAACAATTTTTTATTTTTAATGATAGTGATAATGAAGTGGACATTTAAGAAAAAATTGTCACGTCATATATTCAATGGTCAAATTTGAGAGTTGACTGCCACGTCAGACAAAATTAATAAAGTTGGACGGAGAGTGACTAAACATGACATGTTTCACTAAATCTAGTGGCCATGAATAGAATTAAATATTTTCAGTGATCAAACATGAAACGGATTTAGTAATCCTAGTGACCAGCCTTATCATTTACCCCCAAAAGATGTGTGTGATTACGTCCAAATATTGTAAAACTCTACCAGAAGTTTAATCTCTTAATATTACTAAAAAGCATCTATCGGTTTAGACTCCAATAGAAGAAGAAAAAAATCAGTCGTACCGTACATTCACAAAACAAAAATTACAATTGCCAAATCTAGCTGCTTAGTAAAAAGGAATTAAAAAAAAAAAGAATCATTACCAGCTTCTTTCTTCACATAAGTATCACTAGGGCTGTCACACGGTCGGTTTCGGTTTAACCGAAAACCGAAATCTCGGTTTTCGGTTAAACCGAGACCTGACCTGTGACCACCGGCCACCGACCGACCCTGGAACCTCGGTTATCCGAAAACCGACCGGGCGGTTTCGGTTAAGGCTCGGTTAAACCATCAACACCGAAAAAAGGGAAGGTCGGTTCAGTCTACGGGTCTAACCGACCGAAAACCGAAATAAACCGATTGAAAACCGAAATAAACCGATCGCCAGAACCTAAAAACCGACCGCCAAGACCGAAAACCGACCCTAAACCGGTCAAAACCGACCGGACAGCAAGGGAAAAAACACAAAAATGGCCTAAAATTAAAATCTCAAACCTACATTTCAATTCGTTTTGCACCGAAAATACATCTAAATTAGCAACTTAATGTCTCATATTCATTAATTCAGCAACATAAACTCCACAAATCACAATAAGTCCTCTAGATAACAACAAATCAACAACACATCATAAACAATCTATCATCACTTATCACCGGCCTTAGAAGAACCAACATCTGCATAACCCTGTTCCTTCAAAAAGTCCCTCAAGTCATGACCATAATCGTCATATCCATCTTTCTCATACTCTTCCTCCGGTGCATCTTCTTCACCCTCCTGCTCATTCTCCACTGGAATGTTGAGGCTTGCATCTGTATTGCCAACATTGCCAGTATTCGTTGCACTTTCCATTCTAGTTTGGAAAGTGACATTAACTGAGTAAGAAAAACAAAGGAAAACAAAGTGTTAGGTGAAAAGAAGACAAAAAACTTAACAATAAGAGAGTTTGAGAAACTCACTACTTTCCAAAGTCACATTTTCTTCATCATCTTCCTTGTCATCAATCTCCCTGGATCCGGGATACCTTATCCAATCCTCGGCACAAATCAATGCCTCCACCATTAGGTCGCTCAAAGAGGACCTGAATGGACTGAGAATCCGCCCGCCACAACTGAATGTTGCCTCTGAGGCAACAGAAGAGATAGGAATAGCTAGGACATCCTTAGCCATCTCAGCAACAATCGGATAGATTCCAGAGTGTCGAGACCACCAATCCAAAATGTCAAACTTTGCATCATCACTCTCTTCATTGATACCATCGGTTTGACATTTCAAATAGATGTCAAGCTCAGCAGAGCTACCTCCTGTTTCCAGCAGAAGTGCTTTCCTTTTTCTCTTTCTAAGCCTCTCCTCCAACATCTTAATCCGATCACCAGCACCATCAACAGAACCCTCATCAACAATGTTATCATCAGTGGTAGCCTGAGATGCTAACTCTGATCCATACTTCCTCTTATAAATCTCAAACATCTGCCGCATCTCCCTTTTAATCCTAGTCTGAATTTCCATTCCTTTGATACTTCCATAAATCATTACCAACACTTCAGACACAAGATCAAGTTTACTTCTAGGATCAAGCACACACGCTATATAGATCAAATGATTCACCCTAGGATTCTCCTCATTCATGACAGGTGTGTCAAACCAATACTTTCGTACCTTTTCTTCAACCTTTTCTGCCATCCTTTTGAGCTCTTCACGCGGATCATTCTTCAATTCTTGAATGATGTCATAAATTGGAACAAGTTTCTTGAAGAAAAGATGGGTAGTCACATATTTAGTTCCTGTACAAATGAGAATAGAATACAGGAAATTAGACTTAAACAAACCAAAATTGTCAAATGTTCAAAATAAGATAAACAAATTGTCAAATTTCACTTACCTGAGACTAGGAGGGTAAAGTCATTAAAGACCTTCAGATACTTCATCAACTTTCTAATCAGACTCCAATCATGTTCAGTTGGAAGACCACCTCTTGCGTCAATATAATCCCTGAAGGAATGGTCATGTATACTTGTATACAAAGTGGTAAACACTCCACCAAACCTTTCTGCTGCTTCTAACATGATATAGGTGGAGTTCCACCTGGTCGGTACATCCAAACACACCAATTTGGTAGAATCCAACTCCAGAAATTGCATAGCAGTCTTGAACCTTGCCAACCTAGCTGGCGATGACCTCACCCATTTCACACAGTCCCGAATTCTATCCACAGCTCCTCCGATTACTTTCAATCCATCTTGCACTACCAGATTAATGATGTGTGCGACACATCGAAACTGCATATACTTCCCATCCATCAAATCACACCCCCACGCCTTTAATTTCCTTCTCATGCAATCACTCACAATATCATTTGTAGATGCATTGTCCATGGTCATGCAGAACAAATTCTTAACCTTCCATTCTTCAAGAATTTCTGCAAGCTTCTCTGCAATATCATTTCCTGTATGACTTGTGATCGGAACAAAGGAGATCACCTTCTTCTGCAACTTCCAATCACCTCCAACAAAGTGAGCAGTCACACACATGAAATTTTTGTTGTTGTCAGAAGTCCACGTGTCTGTGGTGATTGAAACTCTGCCTTTGCTCTTTGATTCAAAAAACTCTATCAAATTCATCTTTTTCTCCAAGAATATATGAAAGCAATCATCTCTTATACCTCTCCTCCCAGGTATCTTAAACAGTGGCTGAACCGTATGCATAAACTGCTTAAACCCGTCTCTTTCCACAAAGCGAAAAGACAACTCATCCATTATAATCATCATGGCTAATGCATATCTTGCTTTTGCTTGATCAAATTTCCATAAAGCACTTACTTGACTACCATCTCCGGCCTGCAAGTTCAGAACAGTTTGATCCTTGGATGCTGCAACCTTAGCCAAACATTTGAGCCGATGGGTATTCATTGCAGAAGTGCCGTTCCTGGATGGATGTGCTTTGATCTTAGTGTGACAATGCTTGCACTCTCCAAACGGATATTCATCCACCGCCACCCTCGTAAAGTCCTTCCAGCAATCAGCTGTACCTACTGTCTCCAACCATTTCTCTAGATTGAAGGGATCTAAAGAAGCTTTATTTGGAGCCGGATTAACCGTTTCTGCTGAAGGAGGCTCAGTAGCAGGTGTACTTCCACTACCGGCATTGGCGGGAGTCGATGCAATTGATGCCGATGCCGACGGTTCAGCAGACTGAACAGGCCGACTCCCTGTACGTCCACCACGACCCCGATTCTGAGTAGGAGGGGCTGAGGCACCAACACCACCACGACCTCGAGGGGCCGGAGGTCTCCCACCACGAGAAGCAGTCTCAACGGATGGTGCACCTCGTCCGCCACGTCCACCACGTGGAGCCGGAGGTCTCGCCCTACATCAAATTATCATCATCATCAGCAACTAACAATCATCATTCGACATTCATAATCAATCGCCCTAAATTCACAAATTCTAACAAATAAAAACTAACAATCATCATCAATGATCATCATTCATCAATCAAAAACACCCCAACCAGAATGAACAAATTGGTCAATCCACAAAGACTAAACAAAACGTGAAATAACTAATGGATGAAAGGAGTAAAATAAATAAAAACCAACAAGTCAATTCAATTCCGTGCCCATCTAAAAATGTCTATAGGTTTCCCACTTTAGGTTCACCATGTTAGATGAATCTGTGGCTTACAACTAATGACACCAGCAATTAGCAATTAGCAGCAGCTATAGAATTAGCAAGTGTTGTGTAAATTTCAGTGTACTCATTATATTAAAATCACCGAACATCACCAATCCACCAAAATCATCACCAATCCACCAAATTAATTCGACCTACACCAAATTAATTCGACCTACATAATTGAATTGAATGTTGAATACACTAATTGACTAATTCGACCTACATTAATTCGACGAGCTGCTACCTGCTGGCCTGCTGCAGTGGGCTTCAAAATGGGCGACGGACGAGCTGGGACGGCGGGGTCGGAGAGCTGGGACTGCCGCGCCGGTCGTGAGGGTGAGGGAGAAGGAGGGGGTCGGGGTCGCCGGTCGTGAGGGAGAAGGAGTGGCGGGCTGGCGGCTGAGGGACTCGGAGGCTGCGACGGACGAGCTGTTGCGACGAGAAGGAGGGCGGCGGGGCGACGAGAAGGAGGACGGCGGGGTCGGAGAGCTGGGACTGCCGCGCCGGTCGTGAGGGTGAGGGAGAAGTAGAGGGTCGGGGTCGCCGGTCGTGACTCGTGAGGGCTGTCTGGCTGCTGCGACTGGGAACGAAGAAGAGAATGCCGAAGAGTCGAAGAGGGAGGGCCTAGGCTAGGGTTGGGACTTGGGGTCGTTTTTACTCTTCGCCAAAACGACGTCGTATCGTCGGTCGGTTAGGGACGGTTAGCCGGTTAACCGGCTTTGGTTACTCGGCTAACCGCCTAACCAATCTGCACTGCCGACAACCGACTGCCCCATATAAATTTCGGTTTCCGGTTAGCCGATAACCGGCGATTAACGATTAAACTGGCCGGTTAACCGCTAACCGGAAACCGAATTGACAGCCCTAAGTATCACTACTAAACTAGCTAGGCAACATAGGATTTCTACCTTTTCTTCCCCCTTTCTCCCACAATTAATGAAGCCCCGACCACATCCGAGTTAGCTTTGAACAAGAACAAACAAAATCGATTCAATTTTGCATCTCTACAAAGTGCAATCCATTCCCTCCACACACATGTCTCTTTATCTCTTTCTTCTCTACCCAATCTCCTCAATCCTTCTCAACACTTCGCTCATCTTTGGCCTCTTCTCAGCCAGACCACTAGTACACTCCAGCGCCAAGTCAATAAACCGAAACATCTCGCTGTGCCCTTCTCTCGACTGCATAATCTCTATATCCAATATCTCCGTCGACCAATCACTGTTCACCGTCGACCTAACCCACCCGGATAGGTCATCCAACGACGACGCCATATCGTCCCCAGTCAGCGGCCTGTCGTCAGGGATCTTCCCGGTGATGACTTCCAGGAGCAGAATTCCCAAGCAGTACACGTCAGCCTTGTGCGTCAATCGCTTTCCCTGACAATACTCCGGCGACCTCCCGACGGCCAGCCTTTCGTGAAATTTCTGGGACTGAAGAAGCGGGAGCAGGCCGTAGTCGGTGAGCTTGCAGCAGTAGTTTAGACCTTCCCGGCGGACAAGGACATTGGATGATTTCAGGTTGCCGTGAGGCGCCCTGTGGGAAGGCAAGGCAGCATGGAGAAATGCCAAACCATGTGCTACGTCTTTGATTATCGATACCCTCGCTGTCCAATCCAATGCAATCCTTCCTGTTCCTCTGTTATCTACGAATGCCAAAAACAGAGCATCAGACCAATAGGCTAGTGATCAATGCAGTAAAAAATGCGATTCTACGAAGAAGCGTTTTGGTGATATGGAAGCGTAAATTCATAAGTTTTTAACCTTTAAATGGTAGATATTTTGATTACACTTGTAAAGAAAAGAAAAAAAAAAGGGCGATTCTACGTAAAAGCGTTCTGATGAGACATTGAAGTGTAAAAACGTAAGCTTTTAAACTTTAAAGCGCGGTATTGACATCATTGATAGTGATGATCAATCATAGGCTTAAAGATCGTGTAGTGGAAAGAGGAACTGACCATGTAGCAATTCGAAGAGGTTGTAGCCATGGACGTACTCGTAGATGATGAGCTTTTGATCTGGGGAGTAGTAGAAGGAGACGATCTGTGCCAGGTTGTGGTGCTTTAGGTTTCCGAGGAGCTGCATCTGCTGGAAGAATTCTTTCTGAGATGAGACGTCCAAGTTTTTTAGACGCTTAACGGCCACAACGGCTCCCGATTCTAAGATCGCCTTGTATGTGATACTATTTTTACCATTCCCCAGGATTTCCGCAGAGGCCCTCAGCAACTCTTCCAGGCCCAAAGAAGGAATGTCTTTCACGAAGAAGTCCAATTCCACTGTTCTCTCTGCTGGGTTCGTCGTCGCGCTCCCTGAGTAACCCTTCATCTTCACTGACCAGTCTATGTAGCTTCCGCCTATTGGGGAGCAGTTAAATTTCAAAAATGTAAACTACTCTCCAACTTGACAACAAATTCAATTGTAAGGAACGAAAAAAGTTTATTACTTTGCGGAGTGTGGTTCCCCTTCCCCTGTTTTCGGCGACAGAGCAGGCAGAGCATGATGATACTGAGCGGCATTGTTGCACCTCCTAGTGCGATCACCGCACTCACCCATAGCTTAACTCCAATTTCCCTTTTCCGCCACGGAGTCGGATTCGGCAGCGGCAAAACAGGGCAGGGGTCCAACTGGGGGCCGCAGAGTTCCTTCGAGTTGTGGTCGAATGAGCTAAGGGGAAACCTCTCCAGAGCCATTGTACTAGGAATCCGACCACCGAGCAGATTGTGCGACGCGTTGAATCTGATCAACCCGGATTGATTAAACCCCGGAATCGTCCCCTGTAGAGAATTTCCCTCCAGCTCCAGGATCTTCAAATTGGGCAGGGCAGCGTACTCCGGAGGGATCGAACCGGTGAACCAGTTGAAGGACAGAGAGACTTGCTCCATCCTGACGAGACCGGTCAAATTGGGGAGCGGCCCACGGAGGGAATTGTTGACGAAGCTCAGTTTGGTCAGAAAGGTTATGTTTTGCAGGAATTGGGTCGGAAGGTTGCCCGTCAGGTTGATCCCCTGAAGCACCAGGTGGACCACGTGGCCGTCCTCACAGGCGACGCCTCGCCACCTGCTGGAGCTCCGGCGACATGGCGGACCCGTCCACAGCGCGTGGAGATCGGCCGTCGACGGTAGGGAGTCCCTGATTTGCAGCAGTGCGTCCCGCTCCTCCGGGTAGAAGTCATTAATATCGGATTGAGCGGAGTCAGCGAGAGGTGAAGAAAAGGAAAGAAGAAATGAAGCCAGAAAGATTGAGATTGATACTCGCAGCAGCTGGGCTAGATTCATGGCAGAGGGTTTCTTAATTCGTTCTTTCTTTCTTTCTTCTCTGGTGGGGATTTGTTTAGAGGGTAAAACAGAGGACGGGAAAACAGCAAATGAAGCAGTGAAAATGGAGGCGGCGGAGTATAAAAAGGAGGGAATTTGTGTCAATGGTCATTTCTTGAAGAGGAGAATGACGGTACTGACTGGGTGTTTAGGAAAGCGAACGCCACAAGGAATTGTGATTTAACTGTGAATTGGCAAGGTAATTAACTAATTATGTTATGATTCCTCGATACAACAATAATCGTAATTAATTTTGAGATTGGTACTTCATGCGACAGATTGGCTTCTAATGGCCTATGAAATGTGATTATTCACCAAATTATCTTTGATCCGACTTTTCTATTCTTCTGTAGAACAGTAGAAGCATTCGATGATGATAAACTGAGAATAGACGGTGGTGACTGGTGTTGGCGAAAACTACATTTCCAAACTCACCTACGTGGCTCTGAAGTTCTAGGGTATGGCTAGGAGTGAATTATCAATTATGTGTACTTTATGAGTTACTAGATTTGTTGCCGCGCTTTGCTGCGGTAGTTGAATTGAGTATTAATTATCTCGTGTTTTATTTGTGGTTGATTTTTTCTTTTTTCGAATACTTAATTTTGAATGAAATCTGTTAAAAATATAATTTTGAACCAAAATTTTGAAATTAAAAAAAATTATGCGTAAGGTTTGGCCACATTTTTGGTTGAGTGTCAAAGCTTCTTATGCATATAGTTAGTAAAAAATTTATTTAATACTCTGTATATGTACTAAATGCGTCGAAACTCTCAGTCTCACACTATTATGGAATCCTCCTTTTTACTGTTTATTTAATGCTCGGACGTATTAATCACATGAAAATTTTAACACATAATTTAAGGATTTGAATTGATAATATAATGGTTTATGTTTTTATTCCATTTTGGTAGCGAATTTCTAGTACATTATAACTAATGTCGAACTTAAATGTAATGTTATGTTTGGTCACTCGAAATATAAATGACCAATTCTTAATATCCTTGTTTTTATGTTTAGGGTTAATTGCATGGTTGGTCACTGAAATTACAAAAATCGTTCAAGTTTGGTCACTCGAAATATTTAAATTCATTGGTGATACTTCAGTTTACTCAAACCGTTCACGTTTGGTCACTCTCCGTCCAACTCCGTTAACTTTGATTGATGTGGCAGTCAACTCTCAAAGTTGACCGTTAACTTAGTGATGTGGCAACTAAAAAATTATTAAAATAAAAAAAACAAAATTTTATATTTTCCACCTCATTATTGCGTTCTTTAAAAAATAAAAAGAATAAAACACCTAATACCCTACCCGACCCAGCAACCTCCACCGCCGCCATGGAATCCGACCACCGTAGCAACACTCCCCAACCACCCAACTCCGACTATTGCCCCATCCCCGTCCCCGGCGCCGGCTTCAATCCCTCCTCCCACTCCTCCGCGCCGCTACTGCACAAGGTAATTAACGACTTGATTACCAGCTCTTTTTTGTCTCAATTTCGAATTTAAGGCCAACAATCACTCTGCAGTTTCCGCTGGTTTCTCGAAGCGGGAGGATTTGGAATCTACTGTTGGAATCCAAGGACTCCAAAATTGCACGAATCAGCATCCCCTACATCCCCGGCGGAGCCCCGATCTTCGAGGCAGCGGCCAAATTCTGCTACGACATCCACGTTGACATCAACCTCTCAAACGTCGCGATGCTGCACTGTGCATCCCATTTCCTGGAGATGACGGAGGAATTCGCCGACAAGAACCTCGTATCCCGAGCCGTAGTGCAAGTATATATATTCATACTCCATCTAGCGCTAGTGCAAGTATAAGGATATTAGGATAGAAGCGAACGAGAGAGTTGTATGATTCTTGCTCTTAAGAACGTCAGGTAAGTCTTTGCAGGTGGCGGCAATCGGGAGTTGCAAAACCCTAACACCCGCAGCAAGAAGTAAGGATCCGAGTCATTCCATTGGGTATCAGTTGGGTTCAGGGCGTTCGAGGAGTACCGAGACTTGCAAGAGGGGGAGGAGTTTTTTGTGGTGGTTCCAATCGATGAGAGTTCCAACTGGTGGCAGGGGAAACCGTTGAAAAGCTTGTTTTGGGAACCTGCAGCTGTGTGAAGAAAGGAAAGAATTTGTGGACGGTGAGTGCTAGTAATGGACTGAAGGTTATGTTCTTTTCGGATCTTCGAGCTCCATGATTTCAGACGAGGGCCAAGGATGGATTGACGATGGTGCTAGCAGCAAGTCGATTCGGGTTGAGGGCAGAGTGGTTGAACGTCTGAAGCCTAGGTTTCGAAAAGATGGTCATTCATTGCTGCGTCGACGGCTAATTCCCGTAGATACGATTTGGAGAGGAGGATTGGGCTCAGCTTGACTAGGCCATGTGGAAAGGATTGAAGCGGTGGTGGAGGTTGGGTTGGGTCGGGTAGGGTATTAGGTTTTTTATTATTTTTTTATTATTTAATGAATGTAATAATGAACTGGAAAATATAAAAATTTAATTTTTTATTTTTAATAATTCTTTAGTTGCCACGTCACTAAGTTAACGGTCAACTTTGAGAGTTGACTGCCACATCAGCCAAAGTTAACGGAGTTGGACGGAGAGTGACCAAACCTGAACGGTTTGAGTAAACTGAAGTACCACCAATGGATTTAAATATTTCGAGTGACCAAACTTGAACGTTTTTTGTAATCTCAGTGACCAACCATGCAATTAACCTTTATGTTTATGATGAAATATTTTATAAGAATGAATTGCTTAGTAGTATTGATGAATTATTATAGTGAAACTAAATTGATATTTAGAGAATTATGAGTGATTTAATAATATTGAAGTTTAAGTTTAGACCATTGCACATAATACTTCACTTTTAACATGCATAAATAGAAAGTTTCAATTCAAACCACCTTATAATTGTTTTTAATATGACGTTATTTAATTTAGTATTTGGTATATAGTGATGCAATTTCGAAACATTTTGGATTGGAATTGATTTTAGTCATTATTTAGCATTTGAGATACCAATAAACCGATTTCTCCTAGTCATAGTAAAGTCCATACACTAGTTATTGAGTAATCATGAGCATTGAACTTCAGCATTCAGTGAACAACCATTTCACACATGTGCACTAATATATAACCCCTTAAGAAACGAGAAAGGGGAAACTTTCCTAATCTACATTAGAAAAAGCCCAAGAATAGAAAAAGAAAACCATTAACATAAGTCCTAGCAAAATGGAAAACTTGCCTAATTGACAAGGAGAAGAATGTGGGTTAAGTGGAAAACTATACGTGAGAGAAGAAGAAAAAACCCCTTTAAGGTAAGTCCTAGCGAAAGGAAAACTTGCCTAATGAACAGCTAGGAAAACATGGGTTAAGAAGAAAAAACTCTCCTTTAAAGTAATTTCTAGCGAAAGGGAAAAATTGCATAATCGACAACTAGAAAAACGTAAGTTAAGAAGACGAAAATTGTTCTTAAGATAAATCTTAGCAAGTTCCACTAGCCCACTTAAAAAAACTTGTGCTATTTATATACTTATATATGGACCATTCAATTTGGGTTGAGGTTTAGTCAAAATTTTGGTCATGCAAAGGGGGTAGCAATGGCTACTAGGCTTGGGTGGGGGCGGTTGGTGTGCAGGATAAGTATTAAGGTTTACCTGATGCTAATTGCCTGGTCCAGAACCGCCACCTTCCGATACTTGGAGGATAAATTGGTAGTGAAATTGCAAGGACGGAAACAATGTGACCTTTCATGGGTGACGAAGCAAACTCTACTTAAATCGGTTGTATCGGCATAGCCAACAACTTTATGCCTTGTTTCTAGTTACCGACAACTTTATGTCCTAAATTTGCAAGTATATGACACGATTTTGGTGGGGAAATGAGGGTGGTAGATGGGCTTCTTGGAGTTCGTTGTGTATGAGTAAAGAGGATGAGGGTCTGGGATTTTCAAGGTATAAGTAGTTTAATCAAACATTGTTGGCCAAACTTAGATGGTGTATGCTGGAGGAGCCCTAATTATCTAAATAATAAACTATAAACCCTAAGATGGTTCATTCATTTTTTGCCTATATTTGGAGGAATCACAACCGTCGATTATTGTTTCTAATTAAATTGATCTTGGGGTATAAGATTTAGAGAATTAAGACCTAGATTTTGATCTTTAAGGGTTAGAGTATAGTATCATGTCCGAAAGATCAGTCAATTCAAGGTCTGGATAGCGTTTTCATACTCAAGGTATGCGGTACCCCGGATTTCACCCTGAGTACCATAGAACTCCACATCTAACGGCTAGATCACCTGACGTATAGTATACGCCTGACGTACACCAGTCATCACCATATATATATATGGTGCCTTCTAGAGTACCCCGGGTGAAATCCGGGGTACCGCATACCTTGAGTATGAAAACGCTATCTAGACCTCGAATTAGTAGGTTTTTTGGGCATGATACTATACCCTAACCGTTAATGAGTGAACCCTAGGTCCTAATTATTTAAATCATAAACTATAAACCCTAAGATGGTGCATTGATTTTTTGCCTATATTTGCACAAATCATAACCGTCGATTATTGTTTCTAATTAAATTGATCTTGGGGTATAAGATTTAAAGAATTATGACCTAGATGTTGATCGTTTAGGGTTAGAGCATAGTATCATGTCCGAAAGATCAGTCAATTCAAATTCTGGATAGTGTTTTCTTACTCAAGGTATGTGGTACCCCGGATTTCACCCTGGGTACCGTAGAACTCCCCATATATATATATATATATATATGGCAAAGGCTAGCGTACGCCTGACGTACGTTATACATCTGTGTTCACACCAATAAATTAATTATTAATTATTTTTAAATTAATTATAATGATAATTACAATCATACTCATCGATTAATTGTTTGTTCGTTTTACTCCCCATGAATTTGTACCGTCCACCAATTTCATCAGAGGTGAAAATTGCTTTTCGTCTCCATCCCTCTATCCCTTCATTGGACGGATCAGAAATTTCTGGCTTTCTCCTCTGTCCTTCTCGACCAATTCTAATCGACCCGCCATCGTCTTTTTCATGATCCCAAGTCGTCATCTTCCCCTGCCCAAATTAGACCCCTGATCCTCTGTAATTTCTACTGGTTCTCATATATCCAGCATGCGCGCTCAAGTATGGTCCCCTTCACTACAAATTTAATGAGTATAGGGGACAAATATTAGAGACAATAATTTTATTTCGTTCCTGCAAATACATTTTTAAGTGATTTTAGGCACGGACAATTGAAATCGTCTCCACAAATTCAGCAATAGAGCTTTTAAGAGTCTAGGATAATCTTAACTCGTCTCCAATAGAAATTTTATGCACCGGATTTATCGGGAATTCTGTGGTGCAGTCACTGTATCTGTGCCGGCGATTAATCTAACCGGTTTGGTTTGAAAAAATTGGTCCAGAATTAATCAGACCATAAAATAAAATAAACAAATTCCCTATTTCCCGAGTCCCCTCTCTTCCTTCGTTCTTAAAAAGCATCATCGCCGCCATAGCTGCCGGCCGGCCATTACCACCATCGCCTTTGCCGCTGCAATCCCACTTCGCTCTTCTGTGAAGACAAAATCTAGATCTCGACTCCTACCGATAGTCTAAATCACCATCGCCATCATCGTTGCTGCGGTCGTTAGGCGCTAGCTAGGCCATCCCCAGTTCACCGTCATCGTGTTGTCGGCCGGAGAATTTTGTCAGAGTTTAATTCTTTCCAGCGGCTACTTGGTCAGCGATTACATCGATCGATGTGAAGAAAACAGGCACAAAGGAAAAATTGGATTAATCTTCTGTCCGCTAGTATTGGATCTTCAGTTGTTGGCGATCAATTGAAGATGATGGTGAAATTAGGCGGCACGGGTGCTGGCACGGCACCACAGAATTCGCCCGGATTTATAACTGTACATATAAAGCGTATCCCCTTTATGATATGACAGGGGAAAAAAGAAATAATCACAATATTTAATTAATTATACTTCTAATATTTAATTGACTTCCTTTTCCTTTGCTGAAAAGAAGACTTCGTTGGAAAGGATTATTAGGCACGACACCGGATTTATAGGCTCTTCCTTATTTGTGTAGGTTTTGTCTTCCCTTTTTATTTAGGAATTAAGAATTGTAGACTTCCCAATTGCCTATAAAAGAGCGAATGCAAAATATCCCTGAAGGTTTAACAACTGAAAATTGGGAGAAAATGCTACAAGTCTTTGCATCAAAGGAATTTGTGGTAAGATTGATAATGTTGTGTCGAGCATTTTTTTTCTTTATTGGAAGTTGGAATTGTTTATATTTTAATTTCTAGTTATATTGCATTATATACTATATATATTATTGATCTAAATGCGTTACCTTTATTTTGTTTTCTTATGATTTCTCTGTATTCGTTTTGAAACTAGATTATGTTACTGGAATTTGTTTGTTCATTTGTTTTATGTTAATCTGGAGCAAAATTTAAACAAAAAGAAGTTGATTTTTTAAGGGAATGCCAACTGGTACTTTTCCTAGTTGGTACAATAGGATTGTTCTTGCATTAAACTTTATATTTTGTGGATGTTTATATTTGTAATCTTATGTGTATATAGGAACTGAGTGACAGGAATTCAAAGAATCGAGCAAATCAAACACTTGTTGCATGTACCGGACCAGTTACGTTTGCACAAGTGAACTATGATATGGTAGTACTTAATTTTTACATATTTATTTGCAGTTTTTAAATAATTGATTTTGCTATCCTAGACTTGATTTATTACACTTGACTTGATAGATTGATGAGGAAACCGGTGAAGAACCATTAGCTTCTGAGGCTTGGATGGCTCAACATGCAACTATGAATGACAATAACGAGCCTCAATGGGTCAATAATGAATCATTCCTAGCTTATGTAAGTGTTTATTTGTTACATTGATGAGTAAATTAAGGGAATCATTACAATTTATGAAGGCTTGCTAATATTTGTTTTCCTCAATTTATAGCAACAAATAAGAAGAGTTGAAGAAGAAGTTGTACCAGTCAATCCAAATGTTAATGTGTTGAAAGAGGCTTTCAAGACTCGCTCTGGTCGTATTCCTGGTACAGGAACTGGCTGCAAGTCAAGGAGACAAGCATCAATCAATACACAAGCTGGAAAAGTGGTCCAGCTTGAGGCACAATTGGCCGCGGTGACAACAAGATTAGAAGAACAAGCTCAACGAAATCAAGAGCTGACAACAAGATTAGAAGATCAAGGAAGGCATAATCTATTGTTGAACCAGAGATTTGAGAAACTAATGGAAATGGTAGAAAGTCAACAACATATGCCATCATCATCAGAAGATACTCAAGTAAGTTGCTAACCCACAACCTTTAATTAAACGTAGGAAAAACTTAAATGTTAATTGATATTCTTCACTTAGTGCATAAGTTAACTTTATACTTCCAGATTTGGTTATATGTTAGTACTAGTTTTGCTAACAAATTTTATTATTAGTCCGAAGAAACTCTAAGTCCGGAAGAGAGGGTTGAAGAAGAGTTTGAAAGGGAGCAACGTTATTTGAAGGTATGCTAGTTTTTTTTTTTTAATTCAAAGAATTTTTTTAAGATTTTATGATGAGAATATTTACATTTGAAAAATAAATAATGTAGGTGATGAATCTGAATCGAAAGAGGATTTCACCAACAAAAAGGTCTTCTGCTCCAAAGAAGAAGAAGTGATTTTTGGCTTGTGCAAGGTTTGTGTCAATCTTTATTTCTCGTCTCTTAGTGGACTATTATGTTGTTGGCTATATCTCTAATTAAAATTTTGAATATATGATTTCATTTTTTTAGGAAGATGGGAGTGGGACAAGAAGCATCTTTATGGATCAAATTTGAGCTATGATGATTCAAGAGAAACAAATTTTTATTCATCAATATTGTTGGCCCTATGAATTTCAACGTAGTTATTTTTATATGATTTTGAATAATTATGATACATTAATTACGATTGTTTTAGCTATTTATACATTTGGATGCTATTGATTTTATTAATATTTGGCTTATATATTCTTTATTTAATTTGATGCAAATGTGGATGATATATGGTATTAAAATTTATATAGAAAATGATTTGATGTCTCTAAAAGAAGCACTTAGAGGACGACTCATTGTCTCTAATTGTAGTGTATATGGGATACCCATTGTCTCCACAAACGATTATTACAAGATGACTTGTTGTCTCCGAAAATCTACTTAAAGGACACCTTTTTGTCTCGAAAAATAGTTCTTAAAGACGACTATCTGTCTCCATAAATCATATTTAAGAGATGATTTGTTGTCTCAAGAAGTGGTACTCAAAGGACGACTCTTTGTCCCAAAAAGGAGATTTTAGGGCACGACTTATGGTCTTGAAAAACATTTCATAAGAGACGAATTGGTATATCTAATAGCACTATATAAGGGATGATATGTTGTCTCCAAAGATGGTTCTTTGGGAACAACTTGTCGTCTCGAAAACATTGCATTAGGGACGATTAAAAGTCTTCAAAGATAGTTGTTAGCAAGGCTTAATGTCTCGAAAACACTTCTTAGGAGACGACTTGTTGTCTCAAAAAATGCTTCATAGGGGACTACTTATTGTATCGTAATATAATTCACAGGGGACGACTTTTTGTCTCCTAAAATATTGCATAGGAGACGACATGTTGTCCTAAATTCGTAGAAAAATGGCGGAAAATTAATTCAATTTTTTAATTTTTTGGAGACGACTATGTGTCCCTGATATTGGGGACGACTTTCATTTTTTGTTCCCAAAAGAATAGAGGACGGAACCTATAGGCACCACTCGTGGAGACGAAAATTTTCGTCTCCAAAAGATTTGGAGACGAAAAACCCATGTTTTGGAGACGAAATTTTCCGTCCCCTAAACCTATCAATTTTGTAGTGCTTCTTGTAATTCTTTAATTTGTTCTCGTTGTTGATGATACATGTGGATTCATCACCAGAACTAACAATTATTAATTAGCAATGGGTTGCATGTGATAATGTATGTTTACTCTCCATTGACAAGAGCCTACAGTGAGAGTCTATACAACTCCCCCTTGAGCGAAATTGTAAAATTTTATAACTCAACTCTAATATGGTGTTAACTGAGCATGAAGATCAAACCCACTTTTATCCACTTCCTCGATTTTTAGCATAACATGCCAAATTGTGAAGAAAATGATGGGTGGCTATTATGTGATCATAAGAATTCCATGGCTCATATAGTAATCCAATTGTTTTCAGAACAGGATCAGACATTGAACTAGAAAAATTAGTGGTATAGGGTTCACTGGTTAACCGTTACAAAACTATTGATTAACCGTTGATAAAACTGTTCATGATAGGATTTGTATAATACACTAATTTAAAAATGAAGTTATCTTTGATCATAAACAATCTCAAATTCATATCATTACCAAAATATCTAACAAATCATTCAAAGTGTCTCACAAAAGAAGTCATAATTTTTAATTCATGTTAAAAATTATGGTGCCAGTCGGTAGTGAAGTCGACAACGAGGTTGGAAAATGAGAAGGGGAATCAAAAATAAATTAATAATTTTGGTTGATGGTCTTTGTTAACGTTAGAATTTTTTTTTAATTGTGGTTAAAATAGTGAATCGGTGTGGACCAATTAAACCATGGTGGTTCATCTAATTTTATGTTTAACCGTAAAAAATCAGTGAACCGGATCACTATCATAACTGATTTGGCGGTTCTACTGATCCCGTTATTGATCCGGTTCGATTCTTATTACAATGAGTAATACTCTTGTACTCCATATTGTAATACATCGGCATATAAACTTTGATAAGAACATTTGTAGACTGGGATTTGTGGAGGAGGAATTAGGTGCTCTTTCAGTTAAGCTTTTGAACAAAATGGTTTAATTTAAGAAACAGTTAGGAAAGTTTCTAGATTGGATGATTATGTTGAACAGGAAAGGAAATACATATTGGTGAACTTATTAATTGGTTTAAATGTAACAAAACATAAAAAGGTTGAGGGAGTAAAGTGTATGCCATAATTCATTTAATGAGTGTGCGCGTAATTATAATTTTACCATTATTAATTAAATTATCAATAATTCATTAATAAGTGTGAACTCAGGCGTATAGCGTACGCCTAGTGTACGCTAGCCTTTGCCATATATATATGGTCTCATAGTACCCCGAAGACACCATATATATATATGGTCTCATAAAAGGAAGGACAAAATTAATCTTTCTCACAAAAAGTAATATAACATGTTGAATACTAAAAGAACTATCACCAAAACCAAACAATGTAAAGTACATGACATCATTTTCCTAAATTGCATGTATATTACAATAATGCATGAATTCACCACAATGCATTGATTTAAGTATCACCAAAACCAAACGGCCCCCTAAGTTTTAGCAATTGCATATGAAAGGAGAATAGGAGATGAAGATGGTTCATCCTAGCAATTTTTAAATGTGTTCCCTACAACCACACCATTAATTTTAGCAATTTCTCTTAAAGAATTGCAAACCAACTACACTCCTAACTTTGTTTGCAATTGCTATTATGGGTCCCGATTATTATTTTAAATTTACCAAAATATTTTAAATCTGAATTTTTTTGGGCCCACTTAAATCTGATGGCTGAGATTTAATTACTTATGGCAAGTAACCATGGAGTTACTCACGGGAACTTGAGCCTGTATCAATGATAAAAATACTAATTTAGAAACAAAACAATTAATGATGATCAGAAAATTGAAGTCAACTAACGAAATAAAAGGAGAGGTCACCGCCTAATATTTACATTATATATCAGCAAAACAGAGCGAGCATGCAGTTCCCCTTTTCTGGTGAAGGAAGGTACGTAGCGCAGCACTCATTGACCCCGCGTGAGTTGTACAACTGAGAGGAGCAAGCTGCGGAAAGTCAACCCAAATCCGCCTCCCGTCACGTGGCCACAGGCAGACAATTCCCACGCCTGGATCCTGCTCTGCACCTTCTTCCTCTCCCTCTGGCTATAATATAAAAGCAGCCGATATGGTCAGCGCCGGGAAATGGAATACTCAGCGATTTGCCTACCTAGCGCGACCTCCGTATTTTGTTTGCTTGTTCGATTCTGTCAAGGATCGGAAATAATGGCAATACCGTCTTGGGCGTCCACGTTTCTACTGCTGCTGATTGCTCTGTCCTCGCTGCTGCCTCTGATCTCCTCCGATCGCTACACTGCCCTTTCATTCTCAGGTACGTCGACCGGTGCTCTCTCCGATGTACTTTGCCTCTCTGCCCTTAAATAAGCAGAGTTGGATTTGAATCATTATTTCATTTCTGCCGATTCGCTTAGGCTTTCTCCGGTGACCGGCTGCCGTTATATTGCCTGGCTAAACTTTCTAGTCGAGGTAACTAGCTAGGCTAGCTATATCCGAGATTCGAAACGATACAAAATTTCAATTCGTATTTGTTCAAATAAGTTATATTTTAGATTTATTTTATATTAGCTATTGAAAATTATATCGGTATAGCATTTTGTCATAAACAATGCATACAAAAGTCTAAAATCAGGGTAGAAAGCGAAATAATGGGTGAAATTAGATTAATTTTTGTTTAGATTTATTAATTTTACTCGTATTTTGGAATCCTCGAATCAACAGCTTATCTTATTCACCTGCTTTTGTTGACAAACGAGTCAATTTGGTATCATAATATCAAAACGAGACTATTGCGTAAAATTGATCAGTTACAATTCCTTATATCCAAACGGAGGCCCCTTAGACATTTGTTGATGAGCTTTTGGTGCAAAATCAAGGTAAATTTGAATGAATGGCTAAAAAATAAGTTGTCATGATGAAAAACTCCATATAATTTGCAAGGTAACTTAATTAGTCCAAGGTATGAAGTGAAACAGAATAAACTAATCCTCGAGGCAGGAGATCATAGAACAAAAAATTATTCTAGGCATGGACGGTGCAGTAGTTACCCACCCTGCAGCAAGTGATTCCCATTTCCCGTATCAGCTCATTGATCTCCGTGCTCATTAAAAGGTTCCAATAGTGGAGGGAGCAGCCTTAATTAGCTTGTTTCTGATGATAATGGCACCTTAATAATATATATCTTACTCAATCTAACACACCCTTCCCAATCAGAGTCTAAGTTAATTGTTCACCGGAACTTATTTTTTTAGTCGGTGTAAAGTCAGAAATCTGAAAGATAAAAGGTTAAAAAGTTTATATGGGAGAGATTTGAACCGTGGTTATTGCGCAGAGGACAACAGCTTTAACAACGAGTGTATTTTCCACACAATTTATGTATAAATTTAACTAGCGTGGTAATCGGTCATTTGGCCGGAGGAAGGTGAGGTATGAAATTTGATAATGTAATAGGGTGTATAGCTTATTGTTTTATAGTTTTTTTTTGGGAAACACGTGATAAAAATAGTGAATTTTAGTAGGAAAGAGACATGACTGATGCATCGAATAAAAAATCAGCCTTATGAACCAAAATCAAGTACCTGTTACCTTGTGAAACAATATTGTTTCTGGTAATATGATGAGGTGGAGTACGTTTTATAGAAACCGAATTCCAGAAAACCGAATAAAAAATCGCCTATCCCGCCGGTTTTAGGGAAATGAGCATCTCATAATCATTGCTAGCTTTTACTCGGCCCGTTGACCGATTAATTTGCTTTATAAAACTTTCATCTTGTCATCATTGTGCTTTCTGGTTTTTTGCCAAGCCATGATAAAATCTAAAGAAATCAAGAATGAACAACACGATTTGGGATAGGAACCACCGTTCCTGCATCCCTAGAAAATGGTGGTAAACACGAACTCACCTGCCAAACTAGTTTGGATTGAGATTTTTATCGGGTATCAGGGAACAATGTGATTATAAATTAGACTTGATCAAAACGAGCCAAAACTTGAAATTCAGCCTGTTTGACCGATCCATGCCAATCTAATTATTCTTTACTTTTAAACTTTCTATTTGAAAATAAAAAATAATAAAGAATCGGCTTGCGTATATTCCACCGGATGTGTTCAAGGGGGGTATTCGGATGCCGAAGATCGTTTGTGACAAAGGAGCTGCTCGATGGAAGCA